GGCAATGAGTCTAATCATTCAAGAGTTCTCCATGATCTGTTATTTAAATCCAACTCATTATGACTGACTTTAGGCAAGAGACCAAAATGAAAAGATTGACTAACTGTATCTTTGGTTTTTCCATCCTGTCCCTTCCTGGCATCTCCTATTTTAACACAAGCACTAACTTAGAGGTCAGGGTTAGAAATAGAGCCACCCTGACACGAGGACCCCATTAATCCAAGGCCAAGCTTTCCAAAGGCCTGTGGCTTCAAGTGATATGGGATGCCTCAATATTCTGAAGAGGACAGTGGCCAGGTTAAACTACAAAATCCTCATGAGATTGAAGTGAAAATATATTGGGCTTCAGTTTAAATTTCAACTCTTCTAGAAGAGGCATCCTCCAAAGATGCTTTATTCACCTTTTCTCCTTCAGAATTTCCAACTCAATTGTTCTTTTAAGGTATTGATTTGACATTTTTACACATAGTCTTCCAAATAAATCTAAACAAATAACAAAAGAAAAGCTCATTAGAATTTTGGTGTGTGTGTATGTGTATTTGCTTCTTATAGATATTCAGTTTTGAAGAACTGGTCTTTCTATAATGCCAGGTCTTTCTATCTAGGAAAAAGGTATACCTTAATGTATTCTACTCTTATTTTATATTCATTAGAAACATTTTATAATTTTTCTTCACGTCAATCTTTTATATTTTTTGTTAGATTATCTCTAGGTTTTTATAGCCCATTACAATAAACAGGAATCTTTAGCATGATCATCCACCATGATTTCTTGGGTGTTTAAGAACTGTACTGGTCTTGTTAGATGTTCATTCACTCATTTACTCATCCACTCAGTCAACCAGCCTTGAGCATCTATCACACAGGGAGCACTTTTGTACATCCAGGGCATACAGTAGGGAATAACACAAATGTGTATCGGGAAACGTGGTTTGTTCCCCCCTCTTCTTGCTCCCAAATGAACTGAAGGAGGACTTCTATTTTTCTCATGCAATGTAAACTCCAAAGGAGGCGGTCCATGGCTATACTGGTTACTCCACAATGCCACGGTGAATTCAGTCTTCTGCCTTTCTGTTTAGCAGTCCCTGTTGGGTACTTGTCAATGTTTAACTCCAGCACATCCAGCATTCAACTGCATTCCAAGCAGGAAAGAGGGGGAGGGAAAAGGACAACAGAAGCACGACAGCTGTGACTGATCTCCTCACCCTTTCTAACTTTCTAGAACCTCATGAACTTTGCCTATACTTAATTAGCCAGAGCTATATTATTTGGCCCCATTAATCTCCATGAACTACTTTACTGCACCCTTCAAGTCAGATTTCTCTTAGTAAGGAAGAAGAGGAGAAATAAATTCCTGTGCTTATGGAGAAATTCCAAGAATTTATGGCTGAGGATCTTGAATTTCCCTGGACTCTTTTCTACCTTTTAAAAAACCTATTCTCCTGGTGATCTCATTCAGTCTCATTGCTGTGACTGCTAAATTTTGCCATAGTTTTCAAATGTACATTTCTAACACAGCACCTTCCCCTGAACTTAAAGTACCTAAATGCCTGACATTTCCACTTAGATGTCTAATGAGTATCTCAAATTTAATCTCGACAAAATGAACTCCTTCATCAAAACTGTTCCTCCTGCATCTTCGGTTGCTTAGGCCAAAAACCTTGGAACCATCCTAAACTCCTGTCTTACATCTTTGTCTTATTTTGTTGAGATAGGATCTTGCTATGTCATTCAGTCTGGCCTTGAACCCATGGTGATCCTCCTGCTTCCTGTCTTATATCTTATGCCAGGAAATCCTGTTTTGCTTTACCTCCATCTTCCAACTATATCCAGAACCCCTCTATTTCTCATCATTTCCACCACTAAATTCTGATCGAAGCTACCAAGTCACCCAAAATCATTATTCACGTAGATAACGCTCTCTGAATTGTCTGTTCTTGGCTTTCTCTTCTCTAATGATCTTATCCTCACCCTCTACTACTGCTACATACCCCATCATCATTCCCTATGCTGTCATTACCAGAAACTGTAAGCCCGCTAGAATCGGGCCATGCATCTCACATTAGACATCATCCTTGTCTCCCCACTGTTTTCTCCCTCATTCTCACTCCAATATCCCTCCAACTCCACTAGGACCTGCAATTCCTTGATACTACAATTTTCTACTGCCTCTTACTTTCCCCTTACATTCCCAGTTTCTTCTTTCTTTTATTTTAAAGAGAAAAAACAATCACAAAATAACAACAAAGACAAAAACAAAACACAAAAACAATAAAACTATACAGAATTTCAAAACAAGATGATAGGAAATTAACAATGATTATTAGAGTACATATTGTTATCGTCAATGAAGTTGCTCAGATTACCAGATGTAAGAATGCAAGATTGATCAATTAGAATAAAAAATAATAAAACAAAACATTAGAAACAATACAGAGCTTCACTAACAAGATGGTAGGAATTCAACAATGGTTGTTACAATGCATACTGTTGTCTTCAAATTAGGTGTTCAGATTACCAGATATAATTGGGTAATAGATATAATTGGATACCAGATATCGCAACTTTGGCCCAAAACCAAAAATTAAGCATGAACTGTTCCTTTCAATAAACTAATAGACATCAGCAGTGCAGTTATCCCAGCTATCCTTGCATATACGTATTTTTTCCCTTTCTTTTTTCTTTCTTTTCCCTTTCACTCATCCCAGTTGTTCCTTTCCCTTGAGCAATTTCTTTCTCTTTCACAGTATCTATTGTACATTTTGGGTTTTACTTACTCTTTCAGGTTCTTACACTAGGGAGACAATACGATGCTTACACATGTGGGTCTGAACCCACTTTTCTTCTTACTACACTTAAATTTTAGTCAATAATTTCTCTGTCTGCATGCCTTCAACTTCCTCTCTGTTGTACACATTTAGTGAGCTCCCAAGTCTGATTTGATTAGCCCTTCACCCCCTGAGCCTGCGCCTACCTACACAGCCGACATGGCTGGAGGAAAATATATATCTGAGCTGGCTCGTCCTACATGCAAGTCATGATCACTGGCCTCAAATGGAAAATTAAACACTGCCTAGAAGTCATACTCAGTTTTCCTAGACTTTCTGCTCTCTTCATTCTTTTCTTGCCTTTTCCTTTCTTCTCAATTCTCCAGCTCCATCTCTTGCCTATTCCCAGTCTCCAATGATGACATTCCTTCATATTTCAACGAGAAAAATGGAAGGAATCTAAGAGTCCTTCAACACGTTCCCACATTTGCCTATCACTTCTGTGCCCATGCTTTCAATCTTTTCTCCTGTTAATATGAACTCTTTGTGTTCCTGTTTTAAGCCAACCCCTGGTGTGCCAGATTCCATCTGATCTCATCCAGTCAAAGATATCATTCTAGAATTAGGTGTGGCGGCACATGCCTATTATCCCAGCACTTGGGAGGCTGAGGCAGGAGGATCCTTGCAAGTTCTGAGACCAGCCTGGGCTACAGAGTGAGCTTAAGGCCAACCTGAACTGCAGAGCAAGAACCTGCCTCCAAAAGAAAAAAACAAGCAAACAAAGGTATCATTCTAGTATGTCTTCCCTGTGATCTATACCAAATTTTTGGGTTTACTGGATCATTTCCATTTCTATACATTACTTCTTTTGTCTTAAAAATATAAAAACCCTTTTAGTCCATTTCAGCCATTTGTTATTTCTCTTCTTCTTTTATAGCCAAATTCTCTGAAAGAATTGTTTGTATTCACTGTGTCTAACCTAACTCCTCTACTCTCTCTTAAATCTGCTTCAGAAAGGCTTATCCCCACCATTTACTGAAAAACAGCTCTTATTAAGGTCAACAGATCATTTGTTCTACTTAGTTTCTGGTCAGCTTTCATATGTCAGTCAAACTTCACTGAAACATTTTCTGGCTTTTCTAAGTCAATCAATACCTGTCACTGTTATATCACTTATGATGGCTGTAATTTTATATTTTATATGTCTCTGATAAATGATTCTTTTCTCCCCTCTTAAAAGACTTAAGTTCCATAAGGACAGGGATAATGTATATTTTTCTATCACAACTGTATGATCAGTTTTAGCACAATGCCTGGTACATAAAAATTTACCAATGGATATTTCAGGGGACAAACAGTTTATTTTCATCAATCCCATCTTAAGTTTGGGACAGGAGACTCAAAGATGCAAAGAGACCACCAGCCCAAAGCCATACTGTGGATTACTGGCAGAGTAGGGACTAGAGGCAGAAGAACATACTGCTCTCCATACTACACAGTGAGATGTGGAACCTCATTCCTCAGCTTTGGCCTTTTAGAGCCTCCACCATGTGGGATGCATAGAACAACCTACGCAACCTGGTGCAACACCAAGTCCTCCTTTTGGCTATGAATGCTTGGTTACCAAGTCAACAAAACTTCACCAGCCAGACCTGCTCTGGTTCCTGGGTCTGAAGTGCCCAGGAAGAAGGGCTCCTTCCCCAAAACATTTGTTGAAATTATGTACCACTGGGGCAAATCACTCGTCACTGACCTACAAATTATGAACCATGAAGGGTTTTTACTAGTACTGTCCCAGACAAATAAATAAGAATGGTCACACTGCAGCAACCATTTTCTAGAAAAGCAGTACTCAATTATGCAAATGACTTCATTGGGCAAATCAACCACAGCAGCAGAAGTCAGAGACAAGCTACCAGTTCAGTATGAGCTTCACATCCCTTTGACACTATATGGTCACACTAATACCATCTCCTCTAAATAAACAGTAAGAGTCACTTCCTTTATCTATTTGATTTTTTTTACCTTTCTCAGACAAAAAAAGATCTATATTCCATCTTTAGGGCAGTCATTCTTACCCCCATTTGAAGTTAATCCTGTTGGTTAAGAAAGAATATATTCTTCTGTGACAAGCTAAGTCAAAGAGTCACTTTTCAGATTTCTAGAGGATTCCCTCTTCTGCAGTCAAGATCGACTTCTGGGTCATTCACTGAAGCAACATAACAAAACAAGGCACTAGCACAAAACTTTATTGCAGGGATCAATACACACACACTTCAGAGTAATGTTCTGAACCATTCACGTGACAGCTAGAAACACATCTGACTGTGTTCCACTAGTATATCTTTTGTTTGCTTGGCAAGGGAAAATAAAAATGATTGCAAAAATCGTGTATCCTGTTCAAAAGGCCTGATAACAAAAAGAACAACAAAAAAATCTATAAAATGGCAGTATTGCTATCCCTACAGTGTCAAAAACAAATGTGGTATAATTCAAATCAAGAAGATAATCCCATATAAATCCAATAAGGTAGATGCTGGCAAGCAGATCTGAGGCAATCTGTTATAAAAAATGCAATCCATGATGAATTACAAAAAATAAAGTTTTGATCAGAAAACTGAATACAAAATGCCACATAAGAATGTCTACTAACTACTTTCTTTAAAGGGAAAAGAAACCAAACATTTGGATTTCTATTTATTCATAAGAAAAAAATAAGAAAAATGTTCAGAAAATACTTTTGTTATGAAGTGATTTCTTTCGCATATGCTACCTAGAATTCAGGAATATCTTACTCATCCTTATCAATTTGTAGAAATAAGGAGATAAAATCAGTGTTTGGCCTTCAGCGGGACATTCACAACACCCGAATAAGGTCCAGAGTAATCCTAGATCGGGGGACGTCAATGTTGAGGACCCGGACTTCCACTCGTTCTCCAGGGCCCAGTCCAAGGCTCCTTCTCTTCTTTGTTTTAGAAAGTTTTGCTTCCGTTACATTTCGTATGGGAATCAGCCCTGACCGTCCCACTCCTATATCCACAAAAATCCCAAACAGAGTGGCATTCTCAACTTTGCCTGTCAGAATCGTGCCAACCTGTAGATCTTCCAGGCATACAATGCTTCTCTTGAAGTCAGGTTTATCAAAATCTGAAAGGAAAGAGGAAGTCAGTGTAAAATAAGGCACTGTACTTTGCAGACACAATACAATTTAGTGGATTAGCATTTATTGCGTGCAGACCAGTATGATGCTTTGAGAGGGGATGTAAAAGGAGCTGGAGGCACAGGCCTGCCTTCAGAGAAAATGAACCCTATAAGAAACAGCAGTCACACAGTGCGAATAATTCAAGAAAACCAAACACTTTCTTCTCCCCAGCCCGTATGTCAGTAACATGTGAACGCAAGCACGATCCATGAGGGTACAGAGTACCGGATGATGAGAACGTATCTTTGCTCAGTGAACATACAAGGCTAAATCACAGACACCGAGAAAATAAGATCTTGGAGACAGGATGGGAGTTTTCTTTTCAGTTTTATTTCAACCTAGATTCTTAAATTGTTTCAAAGTAGAAGAAAGTACACTGACTTTTGGTCAAATGTGGATTGTGTTCCCACGAAACTGGAACTCAGGAATCAATTCCAGTCCATTTGAAATATATTTATCCAAAGAAAATGCATGGATTCTTGATTCTCTATGGCTCAGAATCCCAAAGCAGCGAGAATCCAATCTTCTTTCTTTTCTTCAACTCTTCAAACATTTTCAAACTCCTATCTACCATTGCCTCCTGGTCCGGCACTCAGCTGGGTCCCAGAGACAAAAAGATGAAGACCCTTGAACTTCTGTTAAGTTCCTTACAGTCCCTTCCCTTGCTCGTCCCCCTAAACAATTCTCAGCTCACTGACACAGTCCCCTAGAAGGTGGGCATAAAGTATGCCAAGGAATCCTTCTGACTCCAGTTAAAAACAAAACAACAACCTTTTTGAGGTAGACAGTGAGAGCTAACAGTTTAAATGGAGCTTGTGAATTATCTGCGGCCTTCATTTATCCACGGTCTTCTTGGGCCCCTTTCCTAGGATTACTGAGTGTTGACTCTAATAACAAAGAACACATTCTACGCTTGGATCTCTTTTTACTAAGACCTCATTTTACCCTCCACCCAGTCCATTTCCTTTTCCTCCACAGCTGCTGGCTTTATCCTGATTACTTGTTAGAGCTATCCTTTACATTTGTATTAACAACTGGTCACCTCTTTCCTCCCCTCCCCCAGTGTAACTACGTATACTAAAGCCAAAGCTAGGATCTTTGAAAACACTTAACTTTTTCCTGTAAAACAACACAAAAGCTTCTTTAAACCCTAACTCTCATTTTCCTCATAAAAAAAGAATATTCTAAAATTGAACTTGATTCTGTAGAACTTTACCTGCTGCTGGAGCAGTGAATTCCAAAAGCAAGAAACCTACTGTAACGTAATATTACATTGGGCAAGGACGTCAGAGCAAAGTGAAACTAAGTCGTTGATCAGGGCCAGAGGTAGGATGGTCTCCGAGGCCCTATAAGGCATTGTTTTTATGCTTGGAAACTTTTCTCCCCTCCTTTTCTTGCAGAGGTCCAGCTGCTGCGGATTCCCCAAGGGGTTCTGATCAGCTGCTTAGTTTAATTTTGCACGGAAAATCAGAGTCAGAAACTACTTAACATGTTCCTGAAGACAGTTTAGGCCACTGAGAAATCAGAAAATCCTCCATGCACCATGCAAACTTTAACACTTTGATAAGCACGGCAGCACATTCTGTCTACTGTCACCAGACTGCTTCTGATGAACTGATGAACCGCTTTTGCTCAATTCTGGAAACTCACATGCAACCCAAGTGTTAATAAAAATGGAATTGATTATGTCATTGAGAAAACAGAAGACAGGATATGAGGAAAGAATGAGGCATTAAGAAAGGAAATACTTTCTTAAAATGAAGGAGAGAGGTAACATAAATACTCTTACGTAGAAATACCAAAATGCCATCTACACTCTCGAAAGCACAACTCCCTGCCTTCCCCCTTGGGGATATGTTTAATAGTACAATGATGGTTCTCAGATATCTTGAAAATTGTGACTTACACTAGGTCAAAGGTCAGTTCAAAAGTTTGCTTAAAGAGACCGATTTGAAATTTCCCCTGTCACACTGATGAACAGTGCGGTAACTGGAAAGCTAGTCCACAGCCTGGTGCATCTGTGTTGCTACTCAACAAAGGGCATCTCAGGTAAGGCCCTCTTCTTAGTGAGGTTGGTGAACGTGACTATATAATTTGCATGTGGAGCTGAGTCTACAGTTTAACTAGGATAATGAAATAATCAACACCATAACAGAAAAACAAAGACAAAAATATTCAGTACATCTAACATCTATTTGTCAGTCTTCTAATGCAGTTGCATGGGCATTATCACCCAAAATCTCACCCTATTTGGAACCACCGATATCTTTAGTATTCCTTGTAGATACAGCCCTGGAATTCACACAAAAGACTTCCAAAAGGAGATGGATTTGTCTGTTGAAAAAGCTATGTTGTGTGAAGGACCTCCTGAATGCTTCCACTGCCACATTTTTGCCATCGGTCTTACTGCAATTATTTTCTCCCACTTTTTTAATACAAAATCTATAGACTAATTGAGGAAACAGTACAATGAACTTGCTGGGTGGTTAAATTCCCTTCAATTTTTTCAAGGAAGCGAGTCTAAGCACTTCAACACAGCCTAGCTCAGAATGAAAGGAGATAGGCTCTAACTACACAATCATTAAAACTGGTTATGAGACAAGTGTACAGATTCATTTAAATCTCAGGGGTTCCTATTCAAACTTCCTTAGGAAGTAGGTCATTTGATACCTTAATTCTTTTTCTCTGGGTCACTGCTCTCAACAACTACAGCTATTATACTACTCTCACCCTCTACCTGTGCTGAAAGCCGAGAGCACTTTTAATTAGAAGGAAAATCAACAGAAAGATATCATCTTATTTGTTCAATGTGCTCATTGACATAGAATCCAGAAGCTTGGGTAGCTGTAACTTAGGAAAAAGATTCACTTTTTAACATGCGAATGGAAGGCTTTACTGGACCTCTGGTTCCTAGAGCATAAAAACAGCTTACAAAAGAATCACAGAAATGTGTCTGCCTTCATGCACAAGCAGTATACATATATATATATACGATGTATTTTACTGTAGTATAATAACAAATAAATAGTGAAGGAGTTCGGAGACCTGGCTTCTAGCTCTGGCTCTAAACACTAATTATAATGACTCTGAAGGTTACTAAGCTTCAATTATCCGATGAATAAAAAGAGAAAGTCTGTCTCGTTTATGGCATGAAGTTGTTGAGAGAATCAAAACAGACAATATTAGCTCTGCAAATGTCACATACTACACATAACTCCAGTTCAACTTACCTGTTCGAAAGTCAAAGCTTTCCGGCTGGCTGAGACCATCTATGATGACCTGTAAAGTGTGTACTGTTGTCTCTAATCTTTCTGCAGCCTTCTCTATTCCTTCCTTCTCAAGAGATGAATTTATTTTTTGTTGCATTTTAGGTTTTCCAATCTCACACAGTGTACCTCCAATGAATGATAAAAATCTGCAATGGAACAAAAAGCCCAATATTTATTAATAATGTGATTTCTCCAATCTCCTCACACAGATCATCCTAAAATTCATTCATCTCAGACTATAAACCAATTATCTCAGACCCATACATCATTATAGTCAGTCAATCGTCTTTATTGAGAATCTACAATGTGTCCCAGGCTGTAGTGTGCAAACTATCTTGGAGGAACAAGGCAGTGGGAGGAGAAGGGAGTCAATGCGGATTCGCGTACTATTTTACACACGAAGCACCTGCCTCACAGTCAGCATCGGGGGCATTTTGCAGTGTAATGCTCATCATCCCCACTCCTCCAGTAAGGTGGTAATCACCTCAGGTTTCCTCAAACGTTAGGAAAATATTTAAATTTAAATCAGCTAACAGGCAAGAAATTAACTGATGACAGCAAAATCCGACAAAGTACACATCACTCGCTGGCAACTTCTGAGAAATGATTTACTCTCTCCGTGTGTTGTATCATTATCGCTGCGCATCGTGATGGGAGTGGTGCTTGTGCGGCATGCTCGCAGCCTAGTGAATGTCACATTCCAACAAGCCTCACAAAACCCAAATTCTATCAAGTACACGGAATACTCAGGGTTCAATCCCCAGCACCAAAAACAAAAAACAAAGGGGGGAAAACGGGAGGGGACATCTGAAAGAAAAAGTAACTTTCTTCCAAAATGTAAGCAAGACCTCCATTACATTACTTCAAGTTGAACATTATCTTTATACACTTTAAAGATTACATAACTGTAATATTTGCAAAATAAAGACAGCTGACCTCAAAAGTTTCCCTGGGCAATGATGAATATAGAGCTTTTGCAAATGGGAAGGGGACCAAGAGGTGGAAGGAGTAGGGAGGGTGGGGAGGAATAGGACATAAAAGATAAAAGAAGTCAGATGTGTCATGTGCACGTTCCAGCTCCCCATGATACATGAATCATTACGTACCGCAAACACACACGAATCCTTTTTTTTCCCCTTTGCTATGCCCTCTTGCTTTCACAGCTGCCTCTCAGTTATGAAGTCCTGGCTTTAGAAATGAGTTGAGTAAGAAAGAAACAAGGAAAGGGTTAAGATGCATTTCCCTTCGATTTCATGTGAAGACTGGGCTGTACCTTACTTTCTTGACATTCCTTGGCTGGGTATTTTTCTACATCATTAAGTTCCATTTCCTATGATTAATGGCACTTTAAAAATGTCAACACAGTAATCAGACAGATAGTGATACTAATGCCCTCAAATCCTTTCCTCTAAGGATGTCTCTTGAATACAAGAAGGGGAAAAGGAAGCTGTCAGAAGTTTGTCTATAACGAGAATTGGGATATATCCCATTTGGCAGGTTGCTGGATCATCGCAAAAGGAACACATGTGATTCCAAGTCTCTCTTTGGTTTGTTATATTCAACCAGAAAAGGCCTCTTCAGTGATACTCTGGTATCTAGTGGAGAAAGCTCTCTCTTGCTTCTCACTTGGCGAAGGTATCTCTGGGATTCAAATGGGTAGTAACCTGCCTACATTTCTTAGCTTTTTAAGGAAAAAAAAAAAAATCTACTTCTTATTTTTTTGTAAGGAAAAAAAAAAACTTTCCAGCATCCAGCTATTTCTCTTAAGACTATATTGCAGTAAACGGTCTAATAAAAGACAGGAGTGAGGCTTAGTACCCTTCTTTGGAAATGAACCTCCAACTAAACTGGAGGCCAGGGAAACACACACTGTGTGCTCACGGCTTCCAGAGCAGGCTGAGAGCCCGCTGGTTTCTGTCAGCACTGACGGGCAGCAGCACGGAGGGCCCTGTGACAGGGCACAGCTGTTGGAACTGTGACTGAAGGGGAAGATGACGCATGACAACCTCTGCCCACAGCCAGCTTCCTTATACAGCTTTCTAAATAGCCATGCCCTGCCGAGCATGGATGCACGGTCTTGGCTTTATTAATCTGCAACTGGCTATTTCAGCAGAACACCTTTCAAGTCCTCAAGATTCTGACTTATAACCATCTGTTAAAATGACAAAAAGTGTACCCACGGGCTGTAAATACATAACCTTGAATAGCATTTCACAATTAACAGAAGTAACTAAATGGCAGAAACTTCCTAAAGCATTAAGTGTCACCCTCAGTAACAAAACCACCCATTCGGGGCCACCAGGAGTCTTAAGACTGTGTGTGTGTGTGTGTGTGTGTGTGTGTGTGTGTGTATGTGAGTAAGAGAGGAACTAACTGCTACAGAAGTCACTTTCACGCATAGAATTCTGGAGCTAGTGATTGCAGAGGTAAGAGAAAAAATGGTCTGTTTAACCTCAGTGTTTATTTCATAAAACATTTTCATTCCTACTCGTAACTAAAATCAGTAAAAAAAAAAAGTAACAAGTTATGCTCCTAGCTTAATGCTTCATACTGATCAACCCTAAGTTAAATGCTTTTTTATTTTGAAAACTTTAGTATTTTTTTTTAATTTTAAAAAGAAAAAAACAGAATTTCAAAACCAGATTAACAGGAGAGTAACAATAATTAATACATTGCATATTGTTATCTTCAGAGTAGTGACTCGGGGTTCAAGACACACGCATGAGATATTGTCCAAATACTATAACACAAACCTTTAACAAGGTCACACAAGGCACAAGGACTGACTGCTCTTTAATGGATTTCAAATATACTCAGCTGTGTAGAATAGGAACAAGGCTTTATGCCTCGTAGTTGCTCGTTAAATATATGATCCTTAAATATCCTAAGAAATCTTTATTCTACATACTCCAACTTTTTACTTTAGAATTGAAAAGCAGTAATACTCAGTATGAAGTACTTCCTAACTCAAAAGTACCAAATAAAATCATTACTTTCAGAAGCCTGGAACATAGATAGTAAGTCAACACGTACTAATAAATAATATACTGGAAATCGTGCTAGTGAGATTTTCTCACTTAATCATGATGGCAAGCCTAAAAGGTAGTTATGATACTATATAGAAAAGGAAAACTGAGCTTCAGGGAGTTTAAATTACTTCCCCAGGGCCATGCAGCAATTCCCTAGCTGGTGTTTCATGCCACACACAACGTATCTTTGCAACAGACAGCATGTAAAAATTAATGTCTCATATTTAGTGAAGATAGAAAACACAATACTTTTGGTAATATTTTACCAATACAATTTAATGGCAGATTACTTTTAAACATTAGACTGTTAACAATAAATCCCACAAAGAACTTACTATACACAAGCTTTTAAGTAGACAATTCTCTCTAAAGTCAGTGAGTTACTAAAATCATAGTCCCACTCCACTGTCTCTGGCAGGCTTTTTCAGTTTGCTAAGGACTGCTGTTGGAGCTGCTGTTTTTATTTAATATGTAATTTCATCCATCTTACATAAAGTAAGAAAGTAGCATAAATGCAACAAATAAGCACATCATGTTCCTTTAGCACACATCTGTACAAAGTTAAAACACAGACTTCACAGCAGAGATAATGCTTATTTTTCAAACAGACAGCTATATAGCCTAAAATCGCTAATATTTTCAACAGAAACTTGTTACAAATGCAGAGCTTTTCCCTTCAAAAAATAAGAAAAGTCTTTGTAGGATTCTTTTCTCCCAAAGAAGGAAAAATTCTCAAGATTTGTAAGACTTGAGGCACAGCCATTCAGTTTTATGTAATCACTTCCAGCATGGAGATTTAGGGGCCGAGGGCTCGGTTCATTACATTAAAGCAACACGATACCCTACAGAGCACAGAAGAGCCTAGAGATGCAACACAATCACTTTAAAAACAACTTAATATTAGCGTGTGCTTTGTGGGCAAAACACACATGATTTATAACTCCACCAAAAACTGTGCTATCAGAGCAAAGTACTTGCCTCCCCACTCTTGGCACTTTGTAGGGGCTTTCAGACTTGTTCATTTTTATCCATTGTTTTGACTTTGGTTTAGAGTCATGTCATCAATAAGCAAAAAACAAATAAATTAAATGCAGGAGCACAGACATTCTGAAAATGAACAGGAACAGACAGCTCAGGTCAAAATTTGAAATAGAGAGAGAGATTTGGTGATGTAAAAAGAGAAATTATACTGTAAGAGGAAATCTGGCCTTTTAAACTGATTCATAGGAAAAGCAGTGGGACACAAAAGATTCTACAATAGTGTTTTACTCTAAAAAACACGGATATTGTATGCATTTTCAAATCTACCGCTCTTAACATGAAAGACTGACTATAGAACAAATGCAGCAAAGCAGAAGAACCTGCTTCTCCTGAGACCCTCCATAGGGGAACGGAACGGCACTGCTATACAGCAGCAGATCATTCTTCTGCTTGAAGTGAAACGGCCAGCTTTACCGCAGCTGTCATTCCACCACCAAATCAAAGCAACAGCGATCTACGCTTTAAACGCCATCAAAGAAACTTTTCAAATCTCTAACCTCCTTGCTAAGCTAAGGCACTAAACTGGGCCCAAATTCTTCAATACCTGTGCTGGTGCAAAACCCACAAGTAATTGTAAATTCAAACAGTGCATTTATAGCGAGGCCCCAAGAAGCTGGTAGATAGCTAATGAATGTAATATCTAAATGGCTTTTCTTAGCATTTAATCCACTACAAAAGGAGCAAATAAGTCTTCATAAGAACTTACAGTGAACTGGCTTTTAAAAACTAGTATTTTATAGGTAAAGCTTTTCAAGATGTAACTCTTTCCAAGAGGGTGATGCGCTTGTTCTAAAAGCTCTTCCAGGATGATATGAGAATCGTTTTAAGTGGTGTGCGCTATCTAGTCTGTGGGGAGCAGCTGAGACACGGCTGAGCTATAGGTCAGCGAACTGCTTGCGGGTTAGAGCAAGGCCAGCCTGAGAACACAGAGCTCCGCAGGCGAGCCATATAAACCAGTTGTTGGGACTACAGCAAGGCCAGTCTAGCAGGTATCTGGCCTTGGTGTTCTTCCCAGTTAACTATAGCACAGATAGCTCTGAAAATGTTTTGCTTTGTGTTCTCAGCAAGACACTGGG